ACGTGGAAAACCACGTGATTCCCCAATCGCTTGCATTGCTAAAACCCTTGCGATTGAACACACGCTCGTCTTGTAAGCGTGTATCTTATTACATCTGAACAGGTTGAGAATACGTACACAAACATACAAAACTTTTCTCAGGTATATAACTTTCCTCAACCATCACTAACTGCAATGGCGGAGCCAGGATTTTTAAGTACGGGGGGCAACCCCTCCATCAATGAAAAATTTAGTTGTTAGTAAGGAAGGACTTGTCCCTTGCTTTTTATTCGACGCATGTGCGGCGATGGCGCAGCCATCGATCGAGGGTCTAATTCAAACCGCGTTGTGTGATCGGCATCACGCTCGCTGAAGGTGAATGCCTTCAGGGAAGTCGTGTACTGCACACGCAACTGCGTACAATCCTGAGTCTCTTATAACTGCTTTGCCGTTACTTATTAATATGCTACACAGTGGCAGTGGGGGTCGCAAAATGCCGATTTATGACTAATAAACCACAATGATCCGATCGAAATTAGGGATTTCGATCGGATCATTGGGGGGGGGGGGGGGACACGTGCCACAAATTACTGCTGGGTGAGGGCCACCCACGCCATGCGGGCTGCGTGGGTGATTTCATCATACTTCACCAAGCTGTCTAAAACTACTTTTAATTTTACCAGGTAAAGCCCACTGAGCTACACAGCTTTTTCAGAAGCGACCTGGCCACAAATGATAGCTCAGCGAAGCGGCTTATCTTGTGAAAATGTATAGCAGCCGAACAACTGTTAAACGCATGTTGATTCTAAATGTTGATGAGAAAAAGCAGAGGACCCTTATACAAAATCCACATGACCATAGGGAAACCCTTTACAAACTCCAAATGTACAGGTGTCAGGGTCTGATTCGAACCCACGTTCCCCTGCATACCAGGCGAGGTAGTTAACATCTCGCTGGTCAGGCGGGTTGACGAATGCAGGGAGCGTAGACGTGGGAGCATCGACGTACAGGGCAATGGGTTTGCTGCTCTGCTCTCTGCTGCCCACCACGTATCCCCGCGGCTTATAACAAACACCGCGCTGCGCAAGGTGGTCACCTATCCGAGCCGGGCTCCAGCCCGCTCAGCTCCTGAGATGTCGAGATTGGGCACATCCCGGCTGATTTGGTCACAGGCCCACAGCAAGCACCAGCGCACGTTTACACCCCGTACATCGCGAACACTGCCTCACAACAGGGAGGAATATATAGACAAAGACAGGCTGACGTTTCAAGCAATGACCCTTCTTCAGAGCAGATGGATTGACTTAAAGTATCACTTTGAGTGTCATCATGCCGTCAAGAAAACAGCATAACAAGCACCACGCATCATCATCATCAACACGATCCATGGGGCAGATAGTCCGTATGTACCCACTGCACATGTCGTCATTTATTTCCACTTTCCTCTCTCTTGTACCAATATGCTCCAGTAGCAGTGGCCGCATCTCTCTAGCACCAATCTCTGATGCCGCAATCAACCCATTCTCTGTTCGCTCTTCCACTCTTTCCGGTTCCTTCCATTTTCCTGAACATCACCACGCATCAGTTGTAAATACATTGTCAACTGAGGAGGAACTCACTCGCCAGTTCCGAAACCCCAACATGTCTGTGCACTTGATTATAATGCGGCACGCTGAGCGAGGCACATCCATAGCTGGACATGGCGCCCTCTCGCGGGACAACATCGCATTGGGGCACGTCTGTCAACTGGGTTGCACGTGCCAGCTCGCAGCACCACCGCACCCAGCCGATGCATTGTCACGCGGTCTCCCGTCCACCACCACCACCCAAGAGATTCCACCCCAGAATTATCGCCCATACCCATGGATGAGCCCAAGTAGCAACGAAACTCCCATCGCTACCACCGGCTCCCAATCTAATCCAGGATCAATCTCAAGGTCGCACTCGCTATCCTCAACATCCTCCATGGACTCAGCCCTGCCTCCATCTGCCCCCTCTCATCTCACTCTACTCCATTCTCTCTCTCCTGCTACTGCCCTCTCATCTCACTCTACTCCACTCTCTCTCCCACTACTCCCTCTCTTCTCACTCTACTCCACTCTCTCTACTACTACTGCCCTCTCATCTCACTCTACTCCACACTCTCTACTACTCCCCTCTCATCTCACTCTACTCCCCTCCACGCACACTCCTACCTCTCATCTGACTCACAGTCTCCTACCTCTCCCCGCTCATCTCACTTAACTAGCATCCATGCACTTTCCCAATCAGCGTTCACTCAGTGGGAGGTCGTCTCCTGACAACCCCGGTCTGGAACTCTTCCCTCAGCCATTCGTGCTGTCAAACCCTGCCCCTGTTGACATCCAGGCTCAATACTTTCTCCTCCTCCTCTGCCCTTACCCGACTGCCTCACTCTCGCTATGAAACACATTTTCCCACTGTTCCTCCAGTGTCTTGAGATGTGACCACTCATAGAAACGATATATAAATCCAAATTGCATTGCATTGCTGCCGTGAAATATTCTGGTATATGGTGGAGTTGATCATGTCAAGCCTCTGGGCCTTCATTCCACAAACTATATTGGTCCTGAAATTTTTACTTTAAACTTTCGTGACTGCAGGAATTCATTTTCTTTGGTTCTTTCGGTAAAGTCACGTAGATAGAAAAAATTAAAATAATAAAAATACCACGACGTTTCGATCGCAACACAAGCGGTTGTCATCAGGAAAAGAATATCGATTGGTCCTGATTTATGTATGCTTGCTCTTCCACCTTGTCAGTAAACTTCACTCAAGTTTATATTTTTGGAAAAGTAATTCCATCAATTTAATCTGCAGAGTTATTGGCGATATTGCGCCGGGCGAAATTAAACTTCGACCACGGTAGCCACTGTGGAAGCAGAAGACGCCTCGAAGTTTGTGGAGGACTTTCGAGCACACATCTTTCAGAATGGAGGTGAAAAAGCGTCGGCGTGACTTTCGCGAAAATGGCTCTCCAAGCCCACTTGGTGATCTCCTCAGAGACTACGCCCCCCCCCCAATAAACGATTGTCGTAATGCCAATGTTGGTGGAAAGTTGTCGCAGTTTTAGAGTTCACCTGAGTTCCACTCGAACTTTGCCCCATTTTGCAAATTCTGCGGAGCAGAGGAACGTGTTGCTCCGATGGTGGAATGAGCACCCACTCTGTTGGGAAGTCAACAGCGGTTGTCATTTAGAGACTCGCCCCCCCCGCCCGTCATAGGAATGTGGAATTTCAAACACTGGCTCAGGTTTTCAAACAGGTGAGCACTGCCTGAATACTCATTTGAGCAGGACATCGTTTTGAATGGTGGAAATGTTTTATTATTGTCACCATTCCCGCATCTCCGATTAACATGGTTGGCTACGTATGGTGCCAAATAAGTTCCACATACATACATTATTTACAGCCCTTCATCAATCACCTGCTGGGTGAAGGCTTTCCCACGCCGTGCCACTTGTGGAGGTTGTTTGACCATACTTCACCATGCTGGTCAGTGCAGGTCGACAAAAGAGGGAATGGCAGAAATGGCTCTTGTATAATAAAAGTGGCACCAGGCCGTCGTTCTGCCAAGGCGTTTAGGAATGACAGACAAAAAACTCTACTGGAATTTGACTTATTACCTTTATTCGGCCTTGCATATCAAAGTCGATGATTATAAAGTAGAAAGAACACCGCGGTAGTGCAGCACAGAACGGTCCTCACCCAACACATTTCCAGGAAATCGTTTTTCCTCAAATGTAATGTAAAAGGCACCTCAGGAACAGCAAATGAATCGTAAAATGTGCATTCCCTACCCACACACAGGTTACCCTTGCACCGATTACCTCCAAGAACCTATCCAAACTGTAGTCATATCAAAGTAGTCAGCAGAAATGATTGTGGTATGAACATTTTCTTATTTTAAAGGGATTAAGCGAGAGTTTAGAATAATGCTCTTTGGTTCTTCAAATCAAGATTTCAGGGTTAAAAAACAGTAAAACGCATCCGCAGTTCCATTATTCTCGACGTCTGATGTCTACACGGTGGTCCCACCAAATTACAATTCATCTCACTGGCTCTTAGTTGCGCCAAAAAAGTCACAGATATACAATTAGGAAAAATGTACCAGTTATCTATGTTTTGGTGCAGAAAATAATAGTAATAATAAACCTCAGCAAATTGTGTTTTCATTGTTCCCGATTACATGTTAACGTGTAACATGTGTACATGGTAATGTGTAAATACGTGTACATGTTAACGTGTAACATGTGTACATGGTAACATGTAACACGTGTACATGGCAGTGTGTAACATGTGTACATGTTAACGTGTAACATGTGTACATGGCAGTGTGTAACATGTGTACATGTTAACGTGTAACATGTGTACATGGCAGTGTGTAACATGTGTACATGTTAACGTGTAACATGTGTACATGGCAGTGTGTAACATGTGTACATGTTAACGTGTAACATGTGTACATGGTAGTGTGTAACACGTGTACAATGCCACAATACAATGTCCATTATTGTGGCGCCTTGCATTCTACGTCTGTTGAACTTCTTTCACGCCGTACACAGCCAACCGTTGCTAATCGGAGGTGCAGGGGAAGAACAACTAAATAGACTCGATGACTAGATTGGAACGATATTGTATATTCTAAATATGTAAATAAATAACATCGATAAAGAAGTGTTTCTTACGATACGACTATTATGGATGGGCCAGAGAGCTACATGCTTGCCTATGTGTTGTGAAGAAGGGTCATTGCCTGAAACGTCACCTATGACGTGTTATTGACGAATACGCTGAGTTATGTTGTTGTTATTTGAGCGTGTGCACCACTGCCAATACAGTCTTACCAGATCAATTGTTCACTGCGCAGGGGACTTGCCATCTCCTGCCGAGGATGTTTACTTTACAGGTCTTTAGGCTGTCATTTCCTTTTTTTATGGAGACCTAACAGTGAGGAGAGTTGTTTTGTGCAGTAGCATTGTAACGAAGACCACACATCATATATTGAGTCAATTTAATCGACCACTTGCACAGCAATATCACATTTCCGTGAATATAGTGTCCATTAATACTCAAACGAGCATTGATTGGTGCTCATTTCTATTGGCCGCACTGAGCAAAGGGTAACACTCTGGCCATGGAGTCCATTAGGGAAGCCGACATTTCGTGAGAGACATCAAAGGGCTAAAGCCATATACCTGGAAAACGTCAGACTTAAAAACAATCATGTAAAACAACACCTTCATCATCGGTTATGTTCATCCTTTCAAATGATAAACTGAGAAGAGGTTTTCCCCCTTTTTCTGTCAACAAAACAGGTGTTAAGATGTTAAAACACCAAACTGAAACCTTTTACAAGGAATCATGTCTGCATTAACCACAATACTTGTGGTCAGAATGCAAAAAAACTCTAATACAACTCTAATAATATTTGCATTGTCTTTGAACCTGATTGGTCCACACCAGCGACAACGCACTATCAGAGTAATTCAGGCATGGTTCCTTGTAAAAAGGTTTCAGTTTGGTGTTTTAACCTCTTAACAGCTGTTTTGTTGTCAGAAAAAAGGGGAAAACCTCTTCTCATATTTTGGTACTGGCAAAGGAGGTCCTAGGATAAATGATAAACTGTCAAAATCATTAAAACATCAGTTTGTTCCTCTTATTTTTCCAATCGGCTCTTTCTCCGACACCTCTCTTCTTTTGATTCATGACACCTTGAGACTGGGAAAGGTGCCTCATGAGTGCAAATTGCAATTATTTTTTTATTATATTATTGACTTAAAGCTTTCGTGACTGCAGGAATTCATATTCTTGGGTCTTTCGGTAAAGTCACGTAGATAGGTTCAAAGAAAATAACAAAACCTATCTACGTGACTTCACCAATAATATTATTATATTACCTTATTGGAATTTATATAGTGCCTTAATCAAGGCGGTAAACAAGCAATTCTCAATTTGTACATTTAAACGGCATGATGAGATGCGCTGAGTTGATGAGGATAGCAGTGCATGGTGAATATGATGATGCTTGAAACAAACGGTGATTAAAAGAGTGGTTCATGATGATGAGCGAGTGTCATGCTGAATGCATAGGGAAGTTGGGAAGAGGGATAGAGTTACCGATGGGGAAGGGAGTTTGGGTAAGCGAGGGAAAATCAGCGAGTGAGTTTTAAGGAACGAACGATAAATAGATGGTGAGGCTGATTGTTTGACACGTCAGGTCAGCTTGTTCCAGTGTAAAGAGGCCAGAAGCGAGAAAGAAGGGGATGGTGATTGGGGACGAGGAGGAGGGGGAACGGACAGAGACAGAGCTGGGATTGTGAACGGAGAGGACGAGAAGGAAAGTCGAGCGAGATGAGAGAAACGAAAGATATGTAAACTAGGGTGAGGAATTTGAAAGCCGGTGTAGCTGAACGAGGAGAGGTGGTGTGTGGGAGTGGTAGGGGGTGATTAAAGATGATCCGGGCAGCAGCATTTTGGATTTGTTGAAGTGGTTTCATTGCATAGGAGGGAAGACCGAGCGCGAGGGAGTTGCACTAATCGAGTGGAGTGAAAATGAGGGAGTGAGTTCAAAGTTTTGCGGCCGTAGTTGAAAAACCTTCGTCAGCTCCACTTTCCGGCCAATGATACCCGGCTTGTGATTCACAGTGATGTGGGGCCCTCTCGTAACATCAGCACACGCACAGACAAGTGCAGTTCTCATCCCGCTTATTCACAACACAAATACATTGATGAATGTAGGGCCCACGGCCTCTACATATTGGTGACTCCTCTTACCCATAAAAGCATAAATTGGATGCCGATAATAGGAAAAAAAAACTATTTTGGGCCACGCATAATATTGTGGAAAAGGCATTCACTGCATTCGTGAAAGTTCGGCAGTTACAGATATTTTAAAAGAAATTTAAGTTGTAAATCCACCACTTCTGACAAAAAGTATGGCGCGAGACATTTCCCCAATATGAGACCCCTACTGCAAATTGAATTCAAACGTGTTTTTAAAAAGTGATCAGCAGTTGAGTTTTCTACTTAAAATGAGAAAATAAATTCCAACAGCAACAACAACCTTCACAAAGGGGTGATGTACCCTTACAGGTCTTCTGTGTGGAAGTGTTTTATAAAAGGCTCCTCTTGGTCTGCATTCTGCATGAGGTTAAAGTAGAAATGAATTGTCTGTTTATAGTTGTGTAACGAGATCCTCTCATTCACCCCGTGATACCTGCAAATACAAAATATCACATCACGTCAAGAAAATGTCTACGTGATCCATTCACCGTTCATAGCTGTAGGGTACCGAGAACATTTACCAACAATTGAGCTTAATTTAAATATACAATCATAAACATTATCATTTGCAGCCTTTTGTCAATAGACAGTTGGATCAGGCGGCCCCCCCGAGCCGAGTCGGACGTGGAGGTCGCTTGACCATACTTCACCATGACAGTCAGCGAGCGAGAGCGTGGTGGGACCCAGGACTGGGTCAGCTCTCGCTCGCCACCGATGTTAGCCGTTGGATTCGGAGCGCGAGGTGTGAACCACCGCGGCACCACCACGACGACCCTCGCAAGCATCCCCACTAAACAGGCTGACGTACATGAAGGGCCATTGCCGGGCGCCATTTCGGACAATGACCCTTCTTCATGTGCTATGAAGAAAAGGCAATAGCTTGAAACGTCGGAAATTATATTTTAAAAATAAACCATCATTTTAAAGCAGTGTTGTTGACGAATGTGTTGAGTTTTTTTGTCAATTGTGCTTGTGCATCGCTACCAGCGCAGCATTACCAAATCACTTGTTTCAGCTATTCTAAGATATATTATAGTGTGAGTCTGATTCTTTCAGGCCACCAAAAAAACTGCTGGATCACAGTTTTCTGTGGGTGGTCTTGAATTCTATTAAAGCAGACGCAACAACAACCACCTTCCGCAGAGAATCCAGATGACAACAATATGGCCATCGTCAGCATAGGCATCATAAGCTCTATCTTCCGTGACTGCAGGAATCCATACTCTTTGGTTCTTTCGGTAAAGTCACGTAGGTATAAAAATAAAACAAAAAATAATATAGCACGACGTTTCGATCGCAACACAAGCGGTCGTCCTCAGGCGGAAAAAATTATCCAGCAGTGGAACTGCTGAACCAGGAAGAGCTGCTACAACAAGGTTATATATGTGGCGAAGGGCAAGCAGGCGGGGTCTGAGTTGGAAAGGAATTCCATCCCCGCACGCAAGCACATCTGTCGTGTTAATGGGGGAGGTTAGGGAGAGGGAGGTTAGGGAGAGAGAGATTAGGGAGAGAGATTAGCATGAGCTCTACGTTCACAGAAGAAGTGTTTCCCGTTACCTTGGAATATCCTCCAGTTTACTCCAAATTGGTGTGAACCTGTAGAGAGCGCTGGTCAGCTTCTGATAGTGCCTGGTATCCGTGTTGGCAATACAGAGTCCTGGCAGAGCAGAGTTGGTACAAACACATGGCCATGTCAGACTGGGGTCTTAACGTTGCTGCTGTGTTATAATTGTGGCATTATCGTCCGTGGACCTGGTTTCACTGCAGAGGGTTCGAGTTCACTCGTTATACTGCGATCAAATTTCCTAGAACTTACAAAACCCACCAAAATGTTATTTTAAAAAATAATAGCTCGGCTATCAGCTGCAATAATGACACACTAACAGAGGATGGCACTCAAGCCCAACACTTGAAGCTACAACTAAACTTAATTTTGGAGCTTTCGTGACTGCAGGAATTATTCTTTGGTTCTTTCAGTAAAGTCACGTATAAAGATAAAATAATAAATTAAATAATAGCATACTACGACGTTTCGATTGCAACACAAGCAATCATCATCAGGTATAAAAGAAATAGCAACAAAAATCTAACCAGAAAACTATAGACAGACATATAAGCAGGCAGACATCATAAAGATACACAGAGAGAGAACACGTATCGGCACAAAGAGAGAGGTCGTCTCTGTGACGGGGCCTTAAATATAGAGAGGGGGCAGAGAAAAAATTAGCATGTCAATGAGTGGACAACAACGTGGTACGGTACGCAAGCTTGAAAATTAGGAGAAAGACACACTAAAATTAAATAACCTAGTAAAATATCGAAATGTAATGTAATGCAATTACATTACATTTCGATATTTTGGTGTGTCTTTCTCCTAATTTTCAAGCTTGCGTACCGTACCACGTTGTTGTCCACTCATTGACATGCTAATTTTTTCTCTGCCCCCTCTCTATATTTAAGGCCCCGTCACAGAGACGACCTCTCTCTTTGTGCCGATACGTGTTCTCTCTCTGTGTATCTTTATGATGTCTGCCTGCTTATATGTCTGTCTATAGTTTTCTGGTTAGATTTTTGTTGCTATTTCTTTTATACCTGATGATGATTGCTTGTGTTGCAATCGAAACGTCGTAATATGCTATTATTTAATTTATTATTTTATCTTTATACGTGACTTTACCGAAAGAACCAAAGAATACAACTAAACTTTTTTTTATTTTACCAGGTAAGGCCCACTGACCTAAAGAGCTCTTTTCAGAAGTGACCTGCCACCTATAATTGCTCGACGAAGTGGCTTATCACGTGAAAATTCATAGTAGCCAAATGCTATAAATGCGTGTTGATTCTAAATGTAGATACAAAAAACCAGAGGCCTCAGAGAAAAATCCACACGACCACAGGGAAAACATGCAAACTCCAATTATACCTACGATTTCCTGTATACCAGGCGAGGTAGTTAACATATCGCTACCGTGGCACCCTACACGACTTCCCAGGCTCGGGCCATTAGGATTTAGCCCCACAATATTATATAGAATTAAAGGCTACACAGGGTCTACAGCGGGATCTACAGGGTCTTCATACATTGCCAAAGAGTCCCAAAGGCAAAGGATTACTGCGGACCAGATCTGCACATGGCTCCCCTCGTCAGCCACGCACGTGTCACATTCCTTGCTGGCAATTGCACACGCCGCTCGGAATAAAGAGGGTGGGCAAAATTCACCGGTGTATAGCCCTTTGGACACTCAACAAAACTGTAGATTCAATAAAACATCAATCGCACAAATTGGAACAACAAAAACTAGAAACTAAAATATGAATTACTAATTATATTTGCAATAAATAAGAATTAAAATCAAGCATCTAGATTGAAAACTAATTTATTTCGAACTGCTTTTTCTGTTTAGTTTGTTGTCCTTCCCGCACCTCCGATTAGCATGGTTGACTACGTACAGTGTGAAAGAAGTTCCACATATCGTACATAATTTGGAGGTCCTTTCTGACCCCCATATAAAAAAATATATAGTTTGTCTCGGCATCGATGAGTTCCTCCAGTAATCTGCCATTTCCAGCTCTGATCACGCAATGGGGGGTGGGGGGGGGGGGTGGCGAAAGACGAATTGCGACATCGCTCAGGTGTCGATGACAATGGCGTGCTCACCCGGGGCGCTGACGATGTCTGGGAAGGTGTCCGTGATGCTTTTGCTGATTGTCCAGTAGCCAGTGGCAGACTCGTCAAACGGGCTGATCGGCAGGGGCTCCATAGGAGGAGAGGACCTCCAGCTCCACTCGGTCGTCGGCGATGATCTCCTCGGTCAAGCGCAGCACCTGGCGGGAACACAATGTGACCACGGCACTCGCCAACCCGTGCAGCAGAGAGCAGCAAGTCCACAGCCTCTGCACGACACTGCTGCAGGAGACGGTGATCCCATAACCCACGTGACGGCAAGAAGAACCAATGAAAGTTGGGTCTATATAAGAGATGAGTGAAAGAGCTGGAGCATAGACCGTAAGACAGAGATAGACACCAAAGTATGTCGGGCACATTTATAGGCGTGATAGGGAAAGCCTGAAGAGAAGCTATTGATGTTTGGAATTAGGTGAAAGAAAAAGGGAACAGAAGAGGTTGACAGACTAAGATGGACAGTTAGACGGTGTACAGCCTATTCTTCTAGAACACAGTAGTTGCGTTCCCGAAGAACATCGCGTTATAATAAATCTATAATATAGGGTAAAGCACAGTCCGTGATAACACGTGAGATGTGTACGCAGGCTCAACAAAGACTGAGGCACGTGGAAGCATTCAGCAGCATCCCGCCTCGAGTCATTTTACGCCGAGGCATCCGTACAACCACTTATTCCTACTCGCGCGACGTAGTTATGTTCACTCAATCGTGTTATATCCAATTCGCGTTATAGGAGAACAGACTGTAACAGTGTTCTAGAAAAAGCCCAAAATCACAGAGTGGAGCAGCTTCATCCATTGATGAGCAGGAGAGAGACCAGCATAAGTACAATATATAGAGAGGGCCGGCGTGCCACACATGGGCGGGGGGGGGGGGGAACACGGGGAAGCAACGCCAACCCCAAACTGGATACCTTTATTAATTTATTTTCAGTAGTTTACAATTGAAACTAAAACTAAATTAATTATATGCACCCGCGATTCCTAATGTGAGGGATAAAGTTAACACCTGCCACCCCCACCCGTCCAAATATAGAAGTGAAACTCTGCCTGTGGTGCCGCATGCAGACTCACCTCGCTCACCGACTGAGCCGGGTGGATGCGGTAGTTGACGGTGGCCTCGGCGAGCGGCGCCACCACGTTCGGCTGCGGTAGAGGAACGCACGGCAGCCGGCTCAGGGTGAGGCAAAAGGGTTTCGTGCACGAGGTTCTTCAACGACGTTTTCCTGGCCGGCCTCACAATAAACCTTGCGTGCGATCGCGGGCCGTGTGACGGCACATCAGAATCTTTGGAATCAAGATCTTTATTTAGTGCTGGAAGAATCCGATGAGCTATGACGCTCTTTTTCACAGATGTCCAGCAGGGGCAGGTCCGCAAGTATGGGCGGGCAAGCACATCATGGCATCAACATAACGTCCGCACACAGACTCCTATTTTTATCTGAACCGCGTATTTACACGTCTCACATCTCTCCCTTGCCTTCATCTCACTTCTGTTCATCCCTATTTCTACGGCTCTCGCATCTCTCTCTCTCTCTTTCTCATGTATCTCTTTCTCATCTAATCTGTCTTTTTATTTTTCGCAGTCATATATCTCAGCGGGCCACTCCAAGAGCTTTCGCAGGCCAAGTCTGGTCCGCAGGCAGCTCATTGAAGGACTCCGCACAAAGGCTTCGGCTTGCTTCTGCCTCTGCCTTTCCGAACAGGAACATCAAATTAGAAACCCCAGTTCAGAAACTGTGAATTCCCTAAGGAATGACGATCACATGACATAAAACCACAATCCCCAGTGCGGCTGCATTCAACAGCCAAACATGAGACATGGTAATTGTCACGGTGATATGATTGATCATAACACATACAGGAAATCATTGATACTAGACATCTGTAAAAAAATTGCTTGAAAGCTCATCGGATTCCTCCAGTATAAATAGATCAATATTCAGATGTTTGTGTGGAATGGGCCCCACTTGTGGTTGCTCGGTGTTCCCTGTTGTGACTGACGTGATTCCACACAACTACAGAAAGTTCCACAGAGTTCACATTCCCCTATACATTGTTTACACACCTACTGAGAGAGGCTATTCTTTTTAAACGATGTTTTTATTTGACCAGATACGGCTCACTGAACTGCTACGTAACTCTCTGTCAGAAGCGACCTAGCCACAAATGAGAGCTCAACGAGGTGGCTCATCATCACGTGGACATTTATAGCAGCCGAATTCTCGAAACGCATGTTTATAATTGTGGAGGGAAAAAACAGAAAACCTCGAAAAAAATCCACACGACCACGTGGAGAACATTCAAACTCCAAATATACAGGCGTCAGGGTCGGGATCGAACCCATAACCTCCTGTACATCAGGCGATGGATGGAGCGGCAGTGCAGTGGTTGGCACAGTGCACAATGCACCCGGTGACCCGAATTTGATTCTTGGCCACGGCTAACATCAGTGTCGAGTGATATCTGAAGAGGTCCTGGACTCTGACCCTTCCACTAACCAGCACTGATCAGCTTGGTGAAGTATGGTCAAATAGCCCCCATGGCTGGCAAGGCTTTTGGAACACTTGAATTCAGCAGTGGGTTCAGGAAGGGCTGACATAATTAAACCTATGATTGTTTTATTACTGTCCTTAACTTATACCGTACAGTACTTGGAGAACATAGCAAGCATTTTACCTTGACACCTGCGTGGAATTCAGTCACTGCAGTTGTGGTCCTGATTAGGGCATTGGTGGTTGGCTTCTGACCCAGCACCCTAAGAGCATAAAGCGAGACATTGAAAGGACATTTGAAATGTAACGATGTTTAGCTCAAGCGGTTATTCAAGGAGTGCTGCGGTGGCTCGGAGATGTTAACTGCCTCGTCTGGTATACAGGAGGTCGTGCATTTTATCCTGACCCTGACGCCTGCTGCATATTTGGAGTTTGCATGTTCGCCCCGTGGTCACGCGGATTTTTCTCCGGGTGTTCTGGTTTTTTCCCTCCACATTTAGAAACATATGTTTAGAGTAAATAACAAGGTATATGGCCCAAGTTGCCTTCCCTCTGTTGGAGTCAATAAAATGGGTTCCACCCTCTGGACAGTCAACAAAGGCCGTCCTATGGAGACACCGCCTCTTACAAGCTGAATCGCGTTTGTTTTGGAAAATTTCACTACCGAAAAAAAAACTGAAAACCGAGGAAAAAACCCACCCACGTGAGGGAGATACAATCAACATTTCCATCTCCTGGTCACCAAGCACTCTCACACCTACAACATCTGGCAAACTAAGTATGTAAGTATGTACAGTGAGGGAAAAAAATATTTGATCCCCTGCTGATTTTGTACGTTTGTCCACTGACAAATAAATTATCAGTCTATAATTTTAATGGTAGGTTTATTTGAACAGTGAGAGACAGAATAACAACAACAAAATCCAGAAAAACGCATGTCAAAAATGTTATAAATTGATTTGCATTTTAATGAGGTAAATAAGTATTTGACCCCCTCTCAATCAGAAAGATTTCTGGCTCCCAGGTGTCTTTTATACAGGTAACAAACTGAGATTAGGAGCACACTCTTAAAAGGAGTGCTCCTAATCTCAGCTTGTTACCTGTATAAAAGACACCTGTTCACAGAATCAATCAATCAATCAGATTCCAAACTCTCCACCATGGCCAAGACCAAAGAGCTCTCCAAGGATGTCAGGGACAAGATTGTAGACCTACACAAGGCTGGAATGGGCTACAAGACCATCGCCAAGCAGCTTGGTGAGAAGGTGGCAACAGTTGGTGCGATTATTCGCAAATGGAAGAAACAAAAAAGAACTGTCAATCTCCCTCGGCCTGGGGCTCCATGCAAGATCTCACCTCGTGGAGTTGCAATGATCATGAGAACGGTGAGGAATCAGCCTAGAACTACACGGGAGGATCTTGTCAATGGTCTCAAGGCAGCTGGGACCATAGTCACCAAGAAAACAGTTGGTAACACACTACGCCGTGAAGGACTGAAATCCTGCAGCGCCCGCAAGGTCCCCCTGCTCAAGAAAGTACATATACATGCCCGTCTGAAGTTTGCCAATGAACATCTGAATGATTCAGAGGACAACTGGGTGAAAGTGTTGTGGTCAGATGAGACCAAAATGAGCTCTTTGGCATCAACTCAACTCGCCGTGTTTGGAGGAGGAGGAATGCTGCCTATGACCCCAAGAACATCATCCCCACCGTCAAACATGGAGGTGGAAACATTATGCTTTGGGAGTGTCTTTCTGCTAAGGGGACAGGACAACTTCACCGCATCAAAGGGACGATGAACGGGGCCATGTACCATCAAATATTGGGTGAGAACCTCCTTCCCTCAGCCGGGGCATTGAAAATGGGTCGTGGATGGGTATTCCAGCATGACAATGACCCAAAACACACGGCCAAGGCAACAAAGGAGTGGCTCAAGAAGAAGCACATTAAGGTCCTGGAGTGGCCTAGCCAGTCTCCAGACCTTAATCCCATAGAAAATCTGTGGAGGGAGCTGAAGGTTCGAGTTGCCAAACGTCAGCCTCAAAACCTTAATGACTTGGAGAAGATCTGCAAAGAGGAGTGGGACAAAATCCCTCCTAAGATGTGTGCAAACCTGGTGGCCAACTACAAGAAACATCTGACCTCTGTGATTGCCAACAAGGGTTTTGCCACCAAGTACTAAGTCATGTTTTGCAGAGGGGTCAAATACTTATTTCCCTCATTCAAATGCAAATCAATTTATAACATTTTTGACATGCGTTTTTCTGGATTTTGTTGTTGTTATTCTGTCTCTCACTGTTCAAATGAACCTACAATTCAAATTATAGACTGATCATTTCTTTGTCAGTGGGCAAACGTACAAAATCAGCAGGGAATCAAATACGTTTTTCCCTCACTGTAAGTACTTACTTAAGTAGGGAAGTATTTACCTACTTAGCTTAAGAAATATGACACGATCAGACGCATTTAGATCTTTCAGGATTAATGGTTTCATTATTATTAAATATGAAATGCATTCTCCTCTTACGCAAGGCGATCTATTCAGGGGCCAAGTGCCAATGTCGAGGTCTGCTGGCCACGACGAGGGGCTTCTGGAGAAGAATCCATTAACTGGCAATGAAGTTTTATTACTTTAGGAAACGGCAATGCGATCACCACCAAAGTAATCTTCACAAAGCCAACAGTGAACTGAATCGAAGCATTAAAAACAAAACGAACTATTATCACTCCACTCGAACAAATGTTTTGCATTGAAAGGTACTGCCGGTTGATGGACAGTGCGGCAGTTTATGGGGAAAGGTGACATCACCGTGTGTCGCAGTGTACATAACGGTCGAGTTGTCATCGATCTGCAAGTTTTTTTTATAAACTTTTTTCTACATAAGACACTCAGTCCTCATTTGCACACATGCACCTTTGTATAAAGGCCTCACAATGTTAACGTTGAAGCTACAAAGAACTAGATATTTTTTTTGTTTTACCAGGTAAGGCCCACTGAGCTATAGAGTTATTTTTCAAAAGTGACCTGGCCACAATTGATAGCTCAACGAAGTGGCTTATCGCACTGAAATGTATAGCAGCCAAATACTCTGAACGCGCGTTGATTATAAATTCGAGGGAAAAATCAGAGGGCCCGGAGAAAAATCCACACGATCACTGGGATCAGAATCGAACCCATGACCTCCTGCATACCAGACAAAGTAGTTAACATCTCACCAACATGATGCCCTAAAGTGAGCACCGACTTTGATCTCCCTGTTATGGCCCTGCTTACCAGCTGAAAATCGGGCCAAAGAGCCAAAGGTTGGACGTCACCACTCGCATCGGAAAGTTGAACTGCAGCAACAACAAACAAAACAACCTTCATGTGAATCGGAGGGAAACATCAGTTTGCGGAACACCGCGGTAAAAGTTCCATTCCATTTCTAATCAGGAATTACCATCAAGCATGCTCATCAGCATCAACACAAAAGTACTGAAAAGGATAGAAAACTGTTGCTCGACAGTAGTGTCTTGATTTATTTGCTGATAAATAATATAAAGTGGTTAGCGAATTGCGGTATGTACCCGGCCACCCAAGGTCGATTTCCGGCAACGGCCAACACCCACTGAGTTTTACCGAAACTGGTCCGGGCCCTCCACCTCCTGTTCAGCCACCCGCACAAACCAGCATTGAGGCCAGAACTGGTCCTGGCCTCAGTTAACCCACCTGCAATATGGGTGCTGGCACTCAAAATTCAAGTTTGTCATTTTCAAGGTCACACCTTCTGGTTTTGTTTATTTCCCTTTTGAAACTGAAGCCAATGCGAGTTTAGAAACGATCTCTCAAAATTTACAACAATGCATTACAGTCAATACACGCATAGTCAAAGTAGAGGCATATATGCAGAGAAAAAGAGGGGCGAGTCCTGAGCAACACGCAAACAAGTAAATTAGAACGGCATTTTCAGCTGTGGACTTTTACAATGAAAGTAACAAATTGAGAGGAGGGTGTGATCCCACAAACCTGAAGCTTCACTTTTCCACACGCATATTGAAGTGGCAATCCTAACCCACACCGATCGACGCTGGTGAAATGTTGTCAAATATAACCACCACATCAAAAATGGCCTTACCTCAAACCGTGAATTGATAAGTAGCTGTAAAGATTGAATTCACGAGAAAAAATGAACATGTCGGCGGGCACAATGAAGAACCAGCTTCAAATATGTGTGTGAATATCCCCTTTAGGAAAAGCTTTATTCATATAATGTATCAAATGTTCTTTTTTGTAAAATAACAGCATTGCAACAGCACAATGCGTTTAGAGAAGATAACAAAAGTGCAATCAGTAACAGCATCAGGACGGGATGTGAACCGATTAGGTTTGTCTCACTGGAGACGATTGCAAGCGTGTGGGTAATGCACTGACTCACTATAGTCTGAACAGCTGTGCGTCTAATTTCCTTTGTTTATGGCGTGAGTGAGAGGCTGGCTTGCACGACTGATGCGATTGTTATAGGGCAATTGAGGGTATGGCTGCATCCTCCCGTGTGGCAATGAGGTTAATGCTTGACTCACAGTTGTAAGGTTGTGAGTTGAAATCCCGGTCAGTAGATTTTAAAATATTTTTGTTGCTTTGCTTTTCTACTATTGTTTTACAATTTTTTTTGTTCTATCGGTCTCAATGTAACACGTGTAGATATTTTACAAATTATTTGTATAAATAGTAAATAACAGATACTTATTCTAAATGATTACTACATGCACAAGTCGATGCCTGTATCTTTTATAGTGATAATTATATACATTTTAATCAATGTATTGTTACATAGCTATTAGTCAGCCCCTCATCCCCATTAAATATTTTACACATTTAGTACCCCTTTGTGGGAAGTAAATTGTCGTCTTATGGACAGAATGGAGGAAACACTGGCTCAATGGAGTTGGTGCTAAATGAAAATCTTTATTTATTTTTATTCATCCTGGAGGAATGGGGGTGGTGGGAAGAACCCAAGCCCGCTGTTCACACGCTGATGGGTCTTTGTCCCCAATTTACGACCGAAATGTTGTGATGTTGCTATCGTGAACACCTGGACATACAGGGCCCTTCGGCTTTGTAGGTGGTGGAACTTCCTTTTTGTCAAGGACACTTAATTTTGCCATGGGTGAATAGGTATAGCGTTTGACAGACATACCCAGCCCACCCAATCTCGTCAAATCTGAGCATGGTTACATCCGAACGGTACTTTGAACGGGGACCAACATGCCAAAGAGCTTGCTGTGTTACGTGGTAAAGAGCAGAGGCAAGTGCAGCAACATCCGTTGTTGTACTACACTTATATACTCCCATATCTGTGCTCGCTGCCTTCACCAACCCGCACTTAACCAGCGTGGTGAAGTATGGCCAAATAACCCCCATGACACACGGTGTGGGGAGGCCCCAATCAGGCAGTGGACTGACAATAGGTTTGAAGAACAGCTTGTTGGGAAATTGGAGACATTTTCGTTTTTTAAAGGCAGTCATGAGCATTAAAACAGTGGCTATCTCTTGTTTACAGCCCTGAGCCAGTGGTGGAAATTCCATATTCCTATCACGGGGACAAGTCCCTCCATAGGACAACCACTGCTGACTTCCCCACAAAGTGGTTACTCAATTTGGCAACCCTGTTGGAGTGATGTGCTGAGTCAATAAAACCCGCAACCCAGAACCGAACTCGCGATCTTTCGATTGCGAGCCGCTCACTCCACCTCACTCCATCGGTGAGCCAGCGCGGCCAGATTAATAACTTGTGCAAAATGTTTGCATTTCCATTGACACATTCACTGCTGTCTCTGACACAATCGAGCAATGATCGCAGAAAGTGAGAAAGGAATTGTGAGTTGCGTCATCTGGGCATGTCAGGGTCCCATGGTCCAACATTATCATCCTCAGTTTAACACATTGGCTGTCGCGACTAATGTCGATAATAGAGGATTTTTTGGGGGGTTAGATCGCGTAAATATAAATGCGTCATTAAACCCGCCACCACCCGACACAGGCAATTTGTAAGGTTTGTCACGTAAACAAAACATGCCAATTTGTTACTTGTTCAGCACACCGGTGTGTTGGAGAGTAAACCCACAACGTTTACAATTCGAGTACGACGTTTCGCCAGTAATTACAACCAAACTCATCATGCGACAGCCATCCTACATGTGCTGAAACATGTCGATTGTAAACGGAGTGACTCGCCTTCATGCTGAACATGGACAAATCAAGGCACGGTATTTAAAGTCCAGTATAGAGTGAACTTTCAAACATATATATAATGGCGTTGGGTGGGAGGGGATGGGGGGTGTTGCCAGAAAAGACAATACTCACGAATGGAAAACATGTATAAATTAGGCGAACACGTGAAGTGCGCCACCTGTGTTAATTGCTTCTTATTTTTGCCCATGTGTTTGCTAGCACGTTTGCATGAATCACACTGACCCGAAATGAGTTAGGAGCAGCTTAATCATTAAACCAGCATGCTGGCCAAATATTTATTTAGTTATGTTGCAAGCGCAGCTAATCCGCCCATGTATAATCAGAGCTAGCTACGAGTCGTAAGAATATAGGGTACGGGGAGAGGAAGTTGGGTGAGGCAGGTGTCGGACCGGACACCACACAGAGAGGGGATGGGTGTCATTTGTTGGCTCAAAGGTGGTTTCTGACAATCTCCTATTCGAAAACAGGTACAAATATGTAAGAATAATAGGTGTAATCTTGATTTGAAGCTTTCGTGACTGCAGGAATCCATTCTTTGGTTCTTTCGATAAAGTCACGTAGGTAGAAAATTATTAATAGATCACGACGTTTCGATCGCAGCACAAGGGAACGTCTTCAGGTGAGAGAGAGAAAGATACTGAAACAAGGTCTTACGTAGGCCTGAGATGGGTGCAGCCTCAGGGTAAGTGGGTCTTACCTGGTAAAACAAAAATATAATAGGAAATATGAGCAGAGACTGCATTTCTGCCAAAACATACGTAAGAGCTACTGTTTGACAGCAAGAGATAAACAAGCCCCATTGTAAAAAAAGACACGTGTTATTGTTAAAAAATTATGATAATCATTGGATCAAGGATGGCAGTGAATACAAGCCAAGTGTATTGCCTACATCATGAGGTATGTATTTGTTTGTATTGCACATTAGTGTTCCTGTGTGTGTGTGGTTTATATACGCTGTTGTGAAGCCACTTCTGACATGGGTACATTAAAACAAACGTGTAAGTGAGAAGGGCTTCAGAGTACCTGTGATGAGAGGTATTCAAAGAGTGCTCTTTCTGGTCCAGAGCCAAACTGCTGAGGCAAGGGGTTGCTCTCCAGGCTAGAATGCAAAACATCATGAGTAAGACAAAACTTAACTTATAACGGGAAATAACCTTGAGTTTCTCACAATAAATTTGACCCTCTTCTTTTTTATTCTTTCGGCAAAGTCACGTAGAAGGGAAATAATAAATAAAACAGGTGTCAAGATGTTAAAACACCAGACAGAATCCTTATTCAAGGATTCCTGTCTGCATTAACCACACGTACTTGTGGTGAACATGCAAACAAAAAACATGCTCTGATAAATATATGCATTGTCTTTGAAACGTATTGGTCCACACAAAAGACAGCTTTCTTTAGAGCCTAGTCTCAAAGTGTTCGACCAGAGAACGCCAAAAGGCAAATAGTACAAAGACAATGCCACTATCAGGGCATTTATACCTCGGGGTGAGCAGCTACAATATGGGACCTTCCATATGAAACTAAAGGTTTTGAAACTAAAGGTTTCATATGGAAGGTCTCATATTGTAGCTGCTCACCCCGAGGTACTCAGAACTCAGAAGGCTGGGCTGCTATACTAAATGTGTAGAAGTGGGCTCAGTGAGCTGACTTCTATAACACCGTGCTACTGCCCTCTCATTCTCTGTTCGGGAACTCCACACGTGTCCCATATGGGGTCGAGTGAAGGCAAAAGTCGTGAGCACCCTGCGCTGTGAACCCAGGAGCTCTGTGCTTCACTTGTGGCCACAATTAACATCAGCCACACCTTTCACATCCTACGTCCCATTCGGGCTGTGGGTGTTACTTAAACCATACCTCACCACGATGGTCAACTCTGAGTTAGTTAAGGTGGTAGCATAGATATGGTAATATGGAAATACATTACAACAATTAGGGTTAACAAAATCGGACACATTCTTGGCGATGTCACGAGTTTTAGGCACGGAACAGGAAGGTCCTTTTCCAGATGTGAAGGCGGTGGCCCCAGAATGATTAATTCATGCGCTATGAAGAAGGGCAATTGCCCAAAACATCGCCTTTTATAATTTTTTGCTTTTAAGTCCACAATGTAATTGACAATTGCGTTGAAATTGTGATTTCTGATTTTACACCAGTGCCAACATATCATCACTGAACAATGTTTTTACATCTTGACCAAAATATCCCACTTTGGTTAAGATCCAACACTTACGAAGCAAAAATTATGGGATAATTCAAAACAGAAGTAGCGGAGCATACACTCAAGGCCAGGCAGGTGCCCCTGCTATTTTGAATCCAGGCACTGTGGTGCTGCTGAAATCAGACGATATCTATTTGTAAGCGGCATATTAACATATCCGCGGTACACCGGTGTATGGTATAAAAAAAGCTATTTTTTTGCAATCATTATTTATTTTCCAGTCATCCGCAACCCCGGTCACAAAATCTTGCGGGGTGGCAGTCCGTGAAAATCAGTTCTCGCGAGATCAAAGCAGTCGGAACATTAATGTTTATACGAGCAGCTGAACACGAAGCTTCACAGTCTGGTACCATATAGCAGCACCCAGTCTGATCACGACTGGTTGCTCCGTGTTCCAAAGGCAGATTTGACTCGTGCCCTCGACTTGGTCGGATGGTTCCTCAGTTAATTACCGGAATAAATTCTTGGCGGACGGTGGCATCAAAAGATTACGACTCGTGGTGTCACATGTTCGAATGGGAAAGCAGCTGCTGAATCTAAGGCAACTTCTGATGGAGAGTCTGCAGTTCACTCAAGGGCAACAGGGACATCATCAGACTGTTTGTGAGGACCGGTGTGTTATGCTGCACCGGTGTACCGCCAATATGTCCATATGGACTACAGCGTCATGTGGCCTGCAGTGCGAGTCTTGTGGCCTGTAGACTGCAAAGCGCCCACACCCCACCCGCCATGCTCTCATGCTGTGAAAACTATCAAATGTTGTTTGTAAAGTGTTCAACTGATGCTAGTATGGGCTATGCTAAATACATACATATATGTGTGGGAAATTATTTGTGAATCAGATCCATGCCCTGAATCATAATTAATATAATCACCGGGGAGTGAGTTAAAACAATCCTAATGTTCAAGCTTGCGTACTTTACCACGCGTCGTCGTACTCATTGACATGTTAATTTTTTCTCTAGCCCCTCCCTCTCTCCGCTCCCGCCCCCCTCTGTCTATTTAAGGCCTCGCCACAGAGACGATCTCCCTCTCTGTGCCTATGTGTTACTCTCTCTCTATGTATCTTGGTGATATCTGTCTGCTTATATGTCTGTCTATAGTTTTCTGGTTAGATTTTTGTTGCTATTTCATTTATACCTGATGATGATTGCTTGTGTTGCAATCGAAACGTCGTATGCTATTATTTAATTTTTTATTTTATCTTTATACGTGACTTTACCGAAAGAACCAAAGAGTGATGATAAACTCATCAGACACAAATGTGAGTGCAAGCTGGGAACTAGTAAAATCAGTAGTACACAAAAGGAGATTTCTCAACAAGACAAGGTGCGATAGTGAGCATTAGCTCGGTCATCCCATCATGCCTCGCATAACACGACATTACTGTACTGCGTATGGACTGCACACAGCCTTGCTTTATACAACCGACTCTCATATTAGGGCCAAAATTGTGGCCATGTTATTTTATACAAAGGCAGGACAATGAGACAACTGTTTACCACGTTGTTCCTTGTTAGGAATCATCAGTACATTTCATGAGTACAGACATCGTTGCCTGGCTACCACCTCGTGCCACGGAGGCTTTGTGTGGGCCTCCCTCCCCTCCCTGGTCACTGTGGGGACAGTTTGGCAAGAAGGGTAACACCCCCCCCCCACTCACCGCGTGATGGCAGAGGAGAGGATGCCGATGGAACTCTCCCGGGCGGGCATAGAGGAGTGGCCCGTCTCTGTGCGCACACGCAGCCTCAGCATGAGCGAGCCCTTCTCCGACACACCCACCCTGCGAGCAGCACGCAGCTAGTCAGAACCACCAAATTCAGGATTTGCCTCGAGGACGTTACTCGGTTAAATGAGGGACGCATCGAGACACGTCTAGAAGTGTCCTGTTTGAGCAGGACACTTCGCTACAAGGCTACGATGGCTGGGTATGTCGCTAGAAGAGATGAAGGTAGGTGGTCGAGACTAATAGAGTGGTGGTCACGGGAAGGAAAGCGCTTCAGACTGTGTACAATAAAATCAGCTCATGTGCTAGATGGATTGTAGCTTCACAGGACTCTTAAGGGATGGTGACATCTTGGGGAAGCTCCCATCCAGCAGTGGATTGATCATGGCTGCTGCTGCTGATGATACTGATGGACAAGGTTGGAATTTCGCGAGGATTTCAATGTGAGTGGAGCTTGCTGTTGGGGGTTATGGCAGTCTTTACAGATGGACTGCATTCCAGATTCATGGAAGGTTACAGTGCTAATGTACTGGTAATGTACAAACTTATCACAGAATTGCTTAGCAGCTCCCACATGATCTATTTCGTGACTCACACGGCCACTGGTATCTGCAGGCCTGGCACGACCCCATCCAAGATGACCATTCCCTCATCCAGCAGGAAGTCCAACTTGACTCCACGGGATTCCAGTAGCTTTGCAATATTTCGTGCACCTTTGTCTCCCCCGATCTGTCACACAGATATGTTGAACAAAGGGGCAGCCACTCAAGAGGAACGCAGTACAAAATAAGTCATGTAAAGATGAATGAGTCAGCAATTCAAATCAAATCGTACGTTCACAATACGATCCTTGAATTATTATTTCTGCAGTGTGCAGCCCCTTGTCAATCCACGCTGGATAAAGTTCTCCCTCATGCTGTGTCATCATGAGAGTTGTTTGACCATACTCCACCACAGTGATCAATACGTATTCGTGAAGGAGGCGGCCCACTGCACTCGAAGTTGAATTGTGTTTGTAGGAATCAATTATTCAATATTCATTAAAACGTAATTAATGATAATGGGGCGAACAAGGCTGCATGAATAATGCAGAACGCATTCAAAAGGAAAGAAGTGAGGTAACACATTAATCGATCACTGAATCAAATCACCACCAGCATCGTGGACGAGGTAGAATCACGATGTGTGTGTGTGAGCTGTCAACGAAGACTGACACGCACTGCCACGGCGACCCTCTCCATCAAACGCCTGCTCTGCCGCACTAAACGGCGCTACAATGAGGAGCTGCTGTTTGTGCGTACGGCTCCTCCCAAGAGATGCTCACTGCTCATCAGCAAAGACGAGATGAGCCTGTTTGATCTGGATACGCTTCTAAATAAGGCAGACCCTGCAGCGCTGGAACGTCACCGCAGCCAGTTTCTCCCATGTCCCTGCACATAGCCACCGACGCTCCCCGGGCATGACTCATGCCTACATTTGTCCAGTGTCACCCTCTCACAGTCCTGTTCAGCCTGTGCCAACCTCTCGTTCCACTCTAGCAACTCGCCACAGTCCCGCCAAATCGTGTACAGTACATGTCAATTCACTGCCGGATGAGAGCCCTCCTTCTCATGCAGTGCAGGTCGCGGTGGGGGAGAGGTTTACTTGACCATACTTCACCGCTCTGGTGAAGGTGGAAAGGGTAGACGTGGAAGCATAGATGTACTCTACAGCTGCACTTCCCTCTGTTGTTCAGCACATAGAGCCGCATCTTATAACAACCTGCCATGTGTGCATGGTGATCGCCCATCCCAGCAATATCCAGGTTAAAAAAAACCTGCTTAGCTTTCGAGATCGAGTGCATTTCAGATGACTGGATCATACGTGCCATCTCCTTCACATGGCAAAAGTAGCAGCAAATAAGCACTGATGTTATTGCTTGCTCAGAGATATTTTTTTCCTCAGTATGTAGACATTTGAAATTGTTTGAAAAAAAATCACACCGATTAACCCCTAAAAAAAAAGGAAATGCCCATGTATGCAATTCTTATGCATCACGGAGTATGAAATACTCTACAACAGGCGTTAGAGAAAACTCTTGCTGGAGAGTCTTCCGTACCTCCGATGAGCATGGTTGGCTATGTACGGTGCGACAGAAGTTCAACATACATAGAAACACTGATAATACTGTACCCTGATTCACATAAAGAATGCCTCAAATGCACAATACAGGCCAGCATGAGTCCTCCTCACCTCTTCATCGTGTCCAATGCCAATGTAGAAGGTCCTCTGTGGGACAAACCCACGCTGCAGAAGAAGCTCCAACGCCTCCAGAATGGCCTGTACACACGTTTCTAAATTATTTCGTTTAACCAGGTGAAAACTCAAGAAAGTCTCATTGGCAGAGTGACTTAGCGCTTTAGTCTGACAGTAGGGGGCGATGTTTGCTATGTATAAACCCAATTGAGTAATTTGTGGATAACTAAAAAATGTGGACCCTGATAACAACATAAAACACCATCATACACCATCATGCCATAACCATCAAATAGCCAAAAAGCATCCCATTGCATAACCACCATGCTACCAACAGTACTAATTCATGAAAAGTTCAAGCATATAAGCAGAATCCATTGTTTGTCTCCACATGTAAACTTCATTTTACTTTTATTTTTTATTTTACCAGGTAAGGCCCCACTGAGCTCTGTAGCTCTTTCCAGAAGCGACCTGGCCACAAATGATAGCCCAATGAAGTGGCTTATCGTGTGGAAATGTATAGCAGCCAAATACTCAAAACGTAGCATTTGTTTGAACAAGCAAACTCTGGACAGAATTTGAATTTCTGGGTCTCATCAGCAGTCACGATTGTGAAAGAAGATAGCACTGGGAAAGCCAATAAATTGAGCGATGGACAACAACGTATTCAGAGTTATATGTGGTAACACAGAACAAAGTTCTGCTTACACTTGTTTTTTGCTGAAGAAGTTCAAACAAAATTCAATTCACTTAAAAAGGACAATACAATTCTTGGATTTGGGGTTGGCCTTTACACTTGTATATTAAGGCAATTTTTTTATAATTTTCACAAACCCATATCTTAACACTTCAGGTGATCATAAAACACTTGCACAATACCACGCCTATTTCTCAGACTAATACACAGATATTAACAATCCTTTGGAACTAAAATGTTCCACCAAGAATGTTCCACCAATGTACAACACACACAGCTGCATGTATATATTAAGCATACAATGACATCACCATTCATGGGTTATTCTATATGGTTATTATACACCCTTGTGCATGCAATGTTATTTGGTTGTCCTAGAAACGTGTTGTGATTTTATATTCACGTGTGCTACTACAGTACATACGAATTAATCACAGACCCAAACTCACATAGACATCCACAGACTCACGTAAAACGTATTGTGATTCTGAGTTCATGGATTGGTTCTATTACGTGTGTAACGGGTTCGAATTAGGTGCACACACACACAGCTTGGAGGCAACACTATTGATGAGAACAGTAAGTAATATAACACTGTACATAAGGTGGTGACCACCTTCCTCAACTCACTAGCACTATGGAACACTTTACAGCGTGGCCAAGAAAACAAAGGACTGCCCGGTCATGGACGACGACCAGGGACTTGAGGACCAATGATGGCGTCTTCACTTCGGGGGTGAACAGCCCCGCTCTCTGTTCACACCCGCTTATAACCGCTCCGGCGTGGCCGGCTCCGCAAAGCATGCGATGCATCGGCACAGCATGCGATGCATCGCATGCTGTGCTATAGCCGGCCTCCCATAGCAACCCACCCGGTGCTGTCCACGATGTAGGGACATCGCACGCCACGGCCCTCTCGGGCCGGCACCATACAGCGACATCCCCGATGTCACTACACATGTGCAGTACTCTGCACAGAAGCCCATAGACTCACACAGAGATTCACAGACTCACATGTAACGTGTTGTGTGATTTAAAGTTTGTGTGTGTAGTGCTTTGTTCAATTTTGATTTTTTCTTCCCCCAGTGTTTCGAGCCTGTTTTATACCACGCGATGTCAAATAATTTAATAAAAGATGACGGTGTCTTACCATGAGACTGTGCTTGTCATCTATGGTCCCTCGGCCGTAGATGTAGCCTTGGCGAATCTCTCCAGAAAAGGGCGGTACATCCCATCCTTCATGAGAAATTGTACAAACTGTTAAGTAATTTAATGGCATCGAGTGAGTTGTTGAATAGCGCGTCTACTGTGCAGAAGCTTAACATGTTAATCTTGATTGATGGGTGATGTATTCCCCCAGTGACGCCTTGAACCCAAGCACACCTACAAAATGTACTGGCAGTCCAAGAATAAAGCAATGCTTCGTCCAGATAGCAGCCTATAGAGTATTTAATGGCAGACAATTAACCAGAACTGCTTACGGATATAAACACACCACACCGTAATGCAATTATTTAAAATATACCCTGCTACCTGTGCTCCGACAATAACTTCAACACAGTATTCGTGTACACATATTTTGTTTTCAATGGCAAATTGTCACAAAAAAACCTACAGCTGTACAGTAATCTGTGTGAAGTTATTTGTTTGTATTTGGCAGGCATATAGGGGTAAATTATAAACGCAGTGCAAGCTGTGCCATGATTCTATCTTCAGATCAAAGCACGTGATAATGGATGGACGCTTAACTAACACACGTAACATGCGCCATTGACGACGGGGCATGCGTGGGATTGTTTCACAGGAGGAGTGCCGGGGGAGGGGGCTGCTGGCAGGATGCAGATTGAAGCAGCCCTTGCCAATGTGCCCCGAACAATATCATCACGTGTCCCTGTTGCGCTGCAACATCTCAAGAGCACCGATGTGGGCAATTTAAGTTTATTTTGTTTTCCATAATTTGTTGGGAGAATTTTAACATCAAATAATTTGGTAAATGTTAACTCCTCTCAAATGATCTGGCGGACACCAGTCATCGCCAGACCTGCTTGTTGCGTAACAGGTGAACATTCTGCTCCGTGGGAAATTCCAAAGTCACTTTGGTCTTGAGATCACCCTTACCCCGCGGTTCAAACCACCGTAGTTTTTAACAACGAGAAGCCACATCCTCATGTAAATACTGCACGTGATAAAAACTGTTTTGCTTGCAGGAAAACAAAGGTCCGCACATTATGAGTCTTGCAGATTGCAATAAACACAGGCCATATTCCCAGCCAACTAAATATGCAAACACCTCCCAAGGCTGCAAACGTGCTTTGTTAGCAGGCTAGCCTGATGCTCTAGTCGTGGACTAACTGCCTCCAAAATCAAAGTTTGCCACTTTAAACCCACACCCTATTCGTTGAGAATGAGCCTCACATATTTTTGGTGTATAGCAAACCCTTGTTCGACACATATGGGGCTCTGGCCTTGCCGAATTATCCAATATTCCAAATTATGTACAATGGAACTCCTCAGTGCCACCTGCCCCCTATAAAAAATGTGTAATTTATTTTACCAAAAAAAATTTCGGCCTTTCTGGATGTCGTAAAAGGTGCTTGAATTTAAGTGAAACTCTTCACACATCATACGCATTGACACACCTGCATCAATTATATCCAAAACTTTGGATTTATCTCGCAGACTAAGGGATTTAAACATATATAGTGAGTCCAACTGAGTCGCAGACGTTACCCTTTAGAGGCAACACATTTATTGTAACACGTATATACAAATGAGTAACTGCCCCTTTACCAGATACAGCCTAGGGTGGTGACCACCCAGCTAACTACACTATACAGAGGAGTTACAGCTACGAAGGGTCGGACCCTCACTTGGGTCCCCGACCACGTGTTGATGCCTCGTAGGAAGTAGAGCTTCCAGCTTGTAGACGTAGAGCTTCCAGCTTGTAGACGTAGAGCTTCCAGCTTGTAGACGTAGAGCTTCCAGCTTGTAGAACGAAAAGACCCCGGTCCCTTCAGGGACCCACCTTATATCCTCCCGAGTCATGGCCGCTCCACCCTCGGCCCTGCCCACCTTCTCGAGCGTTCTAGCTCCCTCTCGATCTCCCTCGAGAGCTCTTCCTGGACACGTGATCACCCCCTAGCACCCGCCCCCCCCAGCCTGGGGCCTTCTCTGTGGACACTCCAGATCATGTGTCTACGGAGTCAACCAGAGTGCCATGGCCTGGGGCAACTCTGGCCCTTGGCTGACACTCTCCCGCTCCCCTTGTGAGAGCCCCACTACACGCTAAGCGTGGTGCCGACCTGACACAGCAACCCACACGGTGCTGTCCGCGACGTAAGTACATCACACGCCACGGCCCTCCTGGGCCCGTACCATACACATATTTAAAAGTCAAATATCAACAAATAAATGAATTGCTTAGTATATGGCATTATTTAAACTCACCTTTAGTTATGCCACTTCTTTTTCACTTAGGGGCCATGGTTAATGGTAATAATGTACGTCATATAATTCAACGCAGACGGTAGAGGGGTAATGTGAGGAGGGGCTACATGTGAAGAGCGCTTTCAGTACCATAGTCTGGAGCGGGCACGACATCCAGATGGGCAGTCAGCATGTAGGGCGTCCGCCCACCATCAGCGCCACGCACCGTCAGCAGGTGGCTGAAGTTGGCCACAAGGTCGTGGGTCACCAGCTCTGACTCGAACACCACTGGGAATTCTGCAAAGTGAGAGCAGCATCCACAGTGACGAGATGGTAACTACCTTGCCTGGTATACAGGTCGTGTACATTTGGAGTTTGCATGTTCTCCCCATGGTTCGCGTGGATTTCTCTCCGGGACCTCTGCTTTTTCCCACATTTGGCTGTGATACATTTCAATGTGATACGCCACTTCGTTGAGCTATCATTTGTGGTCAGGTCACTTCTGAAAAAGAGCTGTATAGCTCAGTCGGCCTTACCTGGTAAAATATAAAAAAAATTGTTTCGTTTAGTTTACAGCGCTTTGTCAATCCACGCCGTGACAGTCGTGGAGGTTGTTTGACCTCAGGGATTTATTTAATCCGGGTCTGTCTGGGTCTGAAATCAGGATATATTTCCACTCTGTGCACACCACATCTCAGTATACCTATTGCTATGACTATGGCTACTAGTTAAACCCCACTTCCAGACATAACAGACACTTGGATAATTTTTAGTGAGAAATTAATCCATGACCATACTTCATTTTATGTTGGTCAGTGAGGGATTAGCGAAAGGAGGCCCAACATTGGTTCTTCAGTCACTCGACACTGATGTTAGCTGTAGCTGGGAATCGATCACAAGTCACTGGGTCCATAATTACGTTGCGAAAGAACTTGAAAAGACATTATTTTAAATGATCTTTAAGTAATAATGAATAGCTTTGTCAATCGGATGCTGGATGACAGCAAGGGGGCTGTTTGAAAATAATTCATCATGCTGGTTGGATTCACACTGGAACACTTTACTATAACCACGGTTACCATTTAAATTTGCCTTTCATGTTTAGTTGTCATGGCATTGACTAAACATTTCTTTAGACTGCCTATCACCTGGCTACTACATACAATAGAGTACCCGTAGTTTATCAAGTACAAACAAGAAATAGTAGCTATGACGCAATAATCAGTATATAGCATTTCGTAAGACGGGCCTACAAGGACAACATTTTCCATTGCATGCAATTTGTGCAAAATAAATGACTGGACTGGTTCAGTGCAGTTAACACTCATCCGCTGGCCTACGTTGTTCAATGAGACGCAGAGTGTGTGACACCCAGTAGTTATAAACCGTGATTCATATGACTTTAGATGAAAAGCTTTAGGCTCTATTGCTGTAAATTTGTTCAAGTGCAAAGTTTATTTTGTCTCGCTTAGTGAGAAATCAAAAGACCAAGTCTAGTTTGCAAGAGTGACGTTGGTCAATAAAATAACAAAAGCAAAATAAAGTACCGCAGTGAAGCATTGTAGCAATCAAAAGACAATTCTCGTGAGAAATATTGCACGCACATAAATTAATGTTCAAACTAAATATTCCCCTGCAACGCTAAGTTGAATGAACACCACCAAGCCCTTCCTCCCCTAACCTCCCCTAACCCAGCGCCCTTCCTCCCCTCGCCCAGCTTAAATATACGCTGCCAAGCTTGGTGGTGTTCATTCAGATGCTGTTCTTCACCTGAGGACGGCTACTTGCGTTGTGGCCGAAACGTCGTGAGAATTGTATTTTATTATGTTTATTTTTATTATCTTCTTGGTTCTTTCGGTAAAGTCACGTAGAAGGGAAGTAATAAAATAATAAAAATAAAACATAATAAAATAATTACTTTTCGTTGGTGCCACCTGACAATGACAAGGTGATACGCGTGAAATTTGAACCAGTCCACCCGCTTCCCCAATCTGCACCGACCAGCGTAAAGTTTAGTCAAACAACGATTGGGGAGGCTTTCATTCGACAGTAGATGGAGAAATAGATGTTTTTGACAAGTCGGCACACATCAGCCTCGTATCTACCAGGGGAAGCATTCAAAATATTTTCCCTGAATTGTATCTCGAATGTGCGTTCGGCATCATGTCATGGGATGCAGAATACATTTGGAAATCTCATAGAGCAGTGCAACACTTCGTGTCGGCAAAAGTCTCCCAGAACTACTGATTTCCCTTCTAGTGACCTCTGGTCCTCACTGTAGGTGGCAGCACTTTCCCAAACACCCTGCCAACTGACAGGAATGTTCACTGTATGTCAAATTGATATGCTGAACTGTCAAAGCGGGAATTCAGCTAAATTAAGTACATAGTCAAGATTAGCGGGTGTTTTTGTGAAGTTATTAGTCACCGGGTTGGGCCCATAAACTACACTCCAAAACCCAGTTAAATGATTCCAACCCTGACACCTGTACATTTGGAGTTTGAATATTCTCTCCATGGTCGCGTAAATTATTCTCAAGGTTCTCCGGTTTTTCCCTCCACGTTTATAGAAACATGCATTTAGAGTGTGTGAGGGGGATGAGTGGGTGTGTGAGGGGGGGTGAGTGGGTGTATGTGGGGGTTGAGTGGGTTTGTGAGGGGGGTGAGTGGGTACATTCGCGGGGTAAGTGAGTGGGTGTGTGAGGGGGGTTAGTGGGTGTATGTGGGGGGGTGAATGGGTGAGTGGGTGTGTAGAGGGGGGTGAGTGAGTCGGTGTATGTGGGGGAGTGAGTGAGTGGGTGTGTGTGTGTGGGGGTGAGTGAGTGAGTGGGTGTGTGAGGGGGGCGAGTGGGTGTGTGAGGGGGGTGAGTGGGTGTGTGAGGGAGGTGGGTGAGTGGGTGCGTGTGGGGTGTGAGTGGGTGTGTGAGGGGGGTCAGTGGGTGGGTGTGTGAGGGGGGTTAGTGAGTGGGTGTGTGAGGGGGGTGAGTGGGTGTGTGAGGGGGGTGGGTGAGTGGGTGTGTGGGGGGGGTGAGTGGGTGTGTGTGGGGTGAGTGGGTGCGTGTGGGGGGTGAGTGAGTGGGTGTGTGAGGGGGGTGAGTGGGTGTGTGAGGGGGGTGGGTGAGTGGGTGTATGTGGGGGGGGTGAATGGGTGAGTGGGTGTGTGAGGGGGGTGAGTGAGTCGGTGTATGTGGGGGGGTGAGTGAGTGGGTGTGTGTGTGTGGGGGGTGAGTGAGTGGGTGTGTGTGTGGGGGGTGAGTGATTGGGTGTGTGAGGGGGGTGAGTGAGTGGGTGTGTGAGGGGGGTGAGTGGGTGTGTGAGGGGGGTGGGTGAGTGGGTGTGGTAAGTGGGTGTGTGTGGGGGGGTGAGTGCCTGTGGGGGGGGTGAGTGGGTGTGTGTGGGGGGGTGAGTGGGGGCGTGTGGGGGGTGAGTGGGTGTGCGAGGAGGGTTAGTGAGTGGGTGGGTGAGGGAGGTGGGTGAGTGGGTGTGTGTGGGGGGTGAGTGAGTGGTTCGTGTGGAGGTGAGTGAGTGGGTATGTGTGGGGGGTGAGTGAGTGGGTGCGTGTGGAGGTGAGTGAGTGGGTACGTTCAGGGGATAAGTGAGTGGGTGTCTGAGGGGGGTGAGTGGGTGTATGTGGGGGGTGAGTGGGTGAATGTGGGGGTTGAGTGGGTGCGTGTGGGGGATGAGTGAGTGGCTGTGTGAGGGGGGTTGTTGTATATACAGTATAGGCCTTTTTCCAAAAATGTTATATTAAGAATGATTCTGCCTATTTTTTTAAATAATCGATTGGGGTCAGCATAGGGCACGAAAGGGTGAGGCACATCCCCACCCCTCACACCCCAGCTGCCTTGCCACATAAAAGCAACTGGAGGGAAGAGGTCATCTACAAAGCCATTAAATAATAAAACCTCGGGGCAAAGGGAGGTTCATATGAATCTGGGAAATCTCCACGGGTCAAAGGACCATAAGACACGACCTCCACGGACGTTTTGGACAGGTTCCCAAACAAGTCCTCCAGACCCCACTGGCAACTGGAAAAACAGCCTGGTCTCACATCGAAACTTGCTGACACAGCCTTTACACCACCACAGTCGGCTCTCCACGGACGGTGAGTGCCACAGGGCAAACGGACATTACAATGGGCGTTTTTTTTTAAAACGGTAAAAGTTCGAAAATTAGCGACAAGAATAAATCGACATTATAGGACTGCCAGTGCACTCTCAGATTAAGAACCAGAGTAGCAATCTACATTAGTGGCTCTTATTATTACTTATTTTATTTTACCCTTATTCACCACATATATTGCTTCTTATTGCATCTTTCTATCTACGTGACTTTACCGAAATAACCAAATAATATGAATTCCAGCAGTCACGAAAGCTTAAGTCAAAACATAGGTTAAATCTCCAACCTCAGGATATCAAAATATAACTCGAGAATAAGAAGCATGGATCCCTGGCGACACAGACGGAGAACACAATTGAATAAAACCCTCGGAATACCTGTGGTAACAACTATGGTACATCACAAATCTTGGTTAAACATAAACCCAATAATAATTATGAAGTATTAGACCTATATGACGCCAACACCATGTGAGACTAGGCTCTAAGAAAAGCTGTCTCGGGTGTGGACCCCTCAATTTCAAGGACAGTGCATACATTATCAGAGTTGTGTTTTTGTTTGCATTCCGACCGCAGGTATTGTCGGTCAATGCAAACATGACTCCTTGTAAAAAAAGGTGTCAGTTCTGTTGCCAGATAAAAGGGTAAAAAAACAATTATCATATTTTGCTACTGGCAAAGGAGGTTCCAATGGAATATAACAGGTGTTAAATAGTATAAAACACCAAACTGAAACCTTTCACAAGGAATCAAGTCTGCATTAACCACAATGCTTGTGGTCAGAATGCAAACAAAAAACATACTCTGATAATATATGCATTGTCCTTTAAACTGCTTTAACATCTTAGCACCTGTTTTGCTTGCCAGAAAAAAGAGGAAAACCCTATTATCATATTTCGGTACTGGCAATGTATTCATTTGCATAATTACACTAAATAGCATAATTTCGAAAAATTACAAATGTTTTAATGTTCATTAAATAAAAAATATTCTTAAAGACCTAATATTACACGCTTTTATTTAACTCACTCTGTTGTATCCTCAACTCTGTCTGTTGTCGTATCCTCAACTCTTGTAACTCAATTTTAACCCACTTCCCAATGTCGTATCGACTGCAAACTTGGTATACGGATGTCATACTGATAACAATACCATATTCTATCATTTAAAATAATATATATATTTTTAAGCTATTTTTATATCTTATGTTTCGGCGTGGGTCTAATTGTCCACGCTCAACCGACGTTGGCTGTAAATCACCACAGTCCCTTACGTTATGGCAAGCCTCGGGGCCACTTCCTGGAGTCGTGGAGTTCTTCCATTACTCATTAAAGCGTGTTTAAAAAACAAGTATTTTGTTAATATTACTTATATACAACAACAACACACAGGGTGAGTGGGTGGGCCCATGTGCTGCACGTCGTCACCCTCGCGCAGCAGGCTGCCGAACCGCAGCAGCGCCACCTCGTCCAGCGCGCCGGGACCCTCTCGGGAGGAGACCGTGGGCACGCGCACGGCCGCGCGCAGCCTGTCGCGCGCGCGCGCCTCGCGCCTCCCGGCAAGCGGCTCGAGCGCGAGGCGCGGGGCGCGCGCGGCCCGGCCGAGGCGGCTCTCCCCGCCCGGCGCGCGCGCTCCTGCCGCCTCCCGCAGGAGCGCGCGCGCCACCACGAGCGCGGCGAGCAGCGCGGCGCTCGCGGCGAGCAGCGTGGCGAGCAGAGTCCGAGCGCGGCCCATGGCGGCAGCAGCAGCAGCAGCCGGTCACGGTGGAGCGGGGAGGGTTGTTGGTGGTGGTGGGGCCTGCGGCGGGTCGCCCCGGCGGAGGGTGTGGGGGGGGGGCAGCAACAAGTCACGGACGGGGTAGGGGTGGGTGGTGGCCGCTGCAAGGTCACTCCTCGAGTGAACTCGCCAATCGCCCGCGATCTAACCCCAAAAACCTCTAGAATGGATAATGGTCGCGAAAGCCGACGTGTTAAACTGATAGTTTTAACTGGTAAAGGGACTGGAACCCTTAACTCTCGGCGTGTTGACGAGGAGGGTGTCCGCTAAGCGCGTGTCACCGGTGGGGCATGAGGGTCAGCACTTTTCAAACCGAGAACAAAATCCAGATTTTCACAAACGCATTTGTTAATACACTGCTGGAGTCCTCCCTTATGCCGTGTGCGGTGTGGGGGTTCATCTGACCAGACTTCACGGTTATTGGTGTGGGATGGTGAAGGCGGGGGGGGTGGCATGGAAGTACAGTACAATAATGGATTTAGCTTAACTGCCCACAACGTTGACCCACAATCTATCACATCTGTTATTACACACGGGGGTCATGCACCAAGCATTATGCAAGCTCAGCTCGGCTTAGTATCCAAGATTGGGCTCATTCTGGGTGAACAAAAAAACTTTTATTTATTTATTATATCGCTCTTTGTAAAGAAACGTCCTGGCCACAAATGATAGCTCAACGAAGTGCCTTATCGTGTGGGAATTTATAACTGCCAAATCCTCTTAATGTATGATTCTAAATGTGGAGGGGAAAACCAGAGGACCCAGAGAAAAATCCACGCGACCACGGGGAGAGAGGCATGCAAACTAAATATACAGCAGGCGTCAGGGTCGGGATGGAACCCACAACCTCCTGTATACCAGGCAAGGTAGTTAACATCTTGGCACCGTGATGCCCGAGTAGTGGTTACAAAACGAGTTAGTTCCCTGGATAATTGATTTAAAAATGACTTCACCCCACAGTGGATTAACACAAGGGGCTGTAAAGTTATCCATTTCCAAGCAGTGATAACGCTTGCGCAAGTAGTGATGAGATAGTTGGTGCAGGCATCACGCATCTCACAACCTGCAGCATTTGTAATAAATAAAAATTCAGTTGCTTATATGAATCGTAAAATGTACTAGTAAAACCGTATTACCATACAATCACCATGCAATTAAACATGCATATATCGGTTTTGGAATTATAACACCAACAAATGACACCACAATGCCACAAAACGAAATAAGTGTTTAACCTGGTGAGAGTTGGCCGAGCAGGAGACAGTGGCCGAAGCAGCCCTGTCTGTCGGGTTGGCAGTCCGCTTCTGCCACGTGCAGAGCCAGTGCGGACTAAGTGAGGTGCGGGAGTTTGGACTTCGGACTGCCCTTTAGGCAGTGCCGCCCTTCAGATATTGCGGAACAAAGATCAGAATCCAAGGAGAACACGCGGTGTTGGGCCACTGCATGCTGTTGGCATGGCACCGCTACCCACATCTATTACATTTCCATGACCCGCAGATCCCGAGTTGACCCCCCCAGTACCATTGTGTACGTGGTTTTAGTCAGCTGGAGTTGGCTGCCAGAGCCCAAATTCTCAGGGTCCGATTTTCCTTCACGGGCCTACCTGAATTTCCTCCGTCGATGGTGAGATCTTAACTACATCGCATGGTATACAGGAGGTCATGGTTCGATCTCGACCCTGGCGCCTGTATATTTGAAGTTTGCATGTTCACCCCATGGTCGCGTGGATTTTTCTCCTGGTCTTCCGGTTTTTCCCCTCCACATTTAGAAACATGCGTTTAGAGTATTCGGCTACTGTAAATTTCACGTGATAAGCCTTTCGTTGAGCTATCAATTGTGGCCAGATCGCTTCTGAAAAATGTCTATATAGTTCAGTGGGCCATACTTGGTAAAATAAAAATAGAAACATAAAATACAATGGTAGCCCGGAGATCGAACTTAATTCGTTCCAGAAGGCCATTCGAACACCGAATGAATTTTCCCCATAAGAATTAATGTAAATGACATTAATTGGTTCCAGACATGAGAAATCTCTCATTATAAAGCATTTTTACACGAAGTTTACAGTAATTACATGCATAAAATCATACAAAAAACAAGAAACAAATGAATGGAATAAATGAATAAATATATGGAATAAATTAAATAAATGAACATTGAACTTCACTTTACCTGCAGTAAGGAGAGTTGATGGTTTGAGTGGAAGGTGATAAGGAGGAGGTGGTAAAACCTTGTCTGGGCAAGCATCATGCACGCTGGCCATATATACGCGTCTCAGCAGTACAGGTTCTTTCAAGTCGCGATTGCCCGTTCGACCTCCGAATTTCGTTCAGTTTCCGGGGCAAAAAATGTTCGGAAATATCGTTCGAACACCGTTTTGTTCTAGTTCTTATGCGTTCGATCTCCGGTGTTTTACAGTATTTTAAATATTAATACTCTTTTGGGTCTTTCAGTAAAGCCACGTAGATAGAAAAATTATAAATAAAAATATTACGTTTCGATTGCAACACAAGCAATCGTCATCAGGTGAAAAAATATACAGTGTGGGAAAAAAGTATTTGATCCCCTGCTGATTTTGTACGTTTACCCACTGACAAAGAAATGATCAGTCTATAATTTTAATGGTAGGTTTATTTGAACAGTGAGAGACAGACTAACAACAACAAAAATGTTATAAATTGATTTGTATTTTAATGAGGGAAATAAGTATTTGACCCCCTCTCAATCAGAAAGATTTCTGGCTCCCAGGTGTCTTTTATACAGGTGTAGTAAGTTGCAGGAGGCTTGGACGACGTGGTTGGAGGCACACTTATTTATTAATACCAACTTGTGTACAGTAACGGGAATCATATTCTTAGGTTTTTTCGGTAAAGTCACGTAGGTAAAACATCAAAATTAATAAAAAATAAATAAAATAAAACAAAAATCACGACGTTTCGGAGGCAACACAAGTCTCCGTCATCAGGTGGGACCGTCACAGCCGGATTAGCTGCATCAAGTGAGGCAATGATTCAAGATATAAGCCCTTAAAAAGCAAGTTGAGGGGGAGGAGAGGGGGGGGGCTAATCAGAATGTGGTAGCCAATGAATGGAACGTATCGGGAGGGAGGGGGGGCGGGGCTCAAAGACGGCACGGAGTGCCAACGTACAACGCATCGGGAGGGGAGGGGGGGCGGGGCCAAAAGAATGCATGACGGCATGGGTGCTGTTGCTGTTGCACAACGCCAACGCATTGGACAGAGAGGGGGAGGGGAGGCCTGATACACATGATAGAAAAGAACGAAAATTCCCATGTTTATACCAATGCTGGCTGAACAATGAAGAGAGTACTGTTAAACACTGGGGATGTTGTTAATTGGTTCTTTACCCTTCTATCTGGCAACAAAACTGACACCTTTTTGCAAGGAGTCATGTTTGCATAGACCGCAATACCTGCAGTCATAAATACAAACAAAAGACATAACTCTGATAATGTTATGTCTTTTGTTTGTATTTATGACTGCAGGTATTGCGGTCTATGCAAACATGACTCCTTGCAAAAAGGTGTCAGTTTTGTTGCCAGATAGAAGGGTAAAGAACCAATTATCATATTTTTACTGGCAAATGAGGTCCCCATAGGGACTGGGGATGTTAACACTCGGTAAAGTAAAGTAAGATAGTGCCTATCAGATAAGATGGTCCAAAAAAGTGTAATTAAGTCTTTTTTGCGTGGTTGATAACATCTTTCCAATGATTACTAAGTTTGTATCCATCATCACGGTTGAAATTATGTCTGTGTTTGTATATTTGTATGGCTTCGTGTACAAACCTTTGATGGTTCTCTGCAAACCCCCCGGCTACGCACCCCCCCTGAATAAACACCCCATTCCGTAAAACCAACATATATACACGTACCCCGGACGCCCCCCCTCCTTCCGCAAGGGCCCCCCAATGGCAGACCTCACAAAAGTCTGCGCGTTTCGGCACGCGTTCTCGCGGCGGGCCCGTCACAAGGAGCCGCCCCTGCTCGCCCAGTGGCGGGTGTCGACAGTCCGGGTGTGAGAGTGTCCGGCTTCGCTGCTGAGTGACCCCCGACCCCCCCGGGAGGGGTTGGCGGTCGTGGGCACGTCACTCCTGGTGCACCTGGAGATAGAACAGTCGGTGTCAGGTTAGGCGAAAGCAGCGAAGCCGGGGAGTCGGCGGACCCCTCACACGTTTGGCCACGCGTGTGTGTGTGAGGAACACGGGGCGGTGCAATGAACGGTTTCAACCTGGAGGGGTGCACATACCACCGATGCTTCCCCCACTTGACGCGTACACATTGCGGTCGCAAGACCTGTATGACCTCCACGGGCCCCCGCCACGGCCACACCAGCTTCGACGAGGTCGCCAGTGGCACCTGGGGACAGTGCAACCATGCCCTGTCCCCCGGTTTCCATTGGAACACATGTGCCCGCCCCAGCCTAAGCCTCTCATTCGCCCTCTGGCGGAGTTCCGAATTTTGCACGGCCGCTTCCCGCGCCTCTGTTAATTTCCCGATGTTAAATTTAACATGGTCGGACAATTTAGAATTTGCCTGAGGCGCCGAGAGCTTCAGCTGAGTCGTCACAGGCGAGTTAGCCTAGCGGCCATACATTAAGAAGAAAGGTGAAAATCCAGTGGCCGCATGGGGAGCCATCCTGTAGGCTTGCAACACACCCGCAATGTGTAGGTCCCAATCGGTCTGGGATTCCGATACCTGCTGGGACAGCATGGACGTGATAGTCCGATGCAGCCGTTCCACCATCCCGTCAGTTTGTGGGTGATATGGGGAGGTCCGAATTTTCTCCGTACCCAAGAGGCCGCACACTTCGCGGAGGAGTTTCCCCAAAAAATTTTTACCCTGGTCAGTCAGAAGCCGTTCCGGAGCACCCTTGTCGAGGACGTAGCCCTGGACAAAGGCCTCCGCGACGGCTGCTGCCGACTGGTTGGCCAGGGGCCAGGCCATGGGCCATCTCGTGAAATATTCGACCCC